AAGGAAACAAAAAAATAAGTTAGTAAGATAAATTAATAATTAAAATCAATATTACAACAGTTTTTATCCTATATAATATCTACATTACATGCTTTTGTTTCTACCCGAACATGATTTGTACTCTGCAAGCTCTTTGTTATAATAATAATCTTTAACCGCATACATTTCCAGTTCACATTCTTTGAGCAATAAATAAAGGGTTAAGGTAATAAAAATAAAGTATCTTAGGGTTTTAACATGGCTTTGGAGTGGGATTTAATATCACAGAAACATAGTTTGGTTCTAAAAAGGTAATCGAGTTCTCCTTGTTTATGATCCTTTGGGCTTTACCAAACCCTCGATCCTAAACTCATCACAAGTTTATATGAACTTAGTTAAAATTGAGAGAAAACATTCCCTTATGTCTGGCACGAATAATAAATTTCCACGAAGACATAAAATATAAAAACCCAAAGGCTACTTGTTAGGCCTAACACGGATAATAAATTCTCACAAAGACATCATTTTCACCCCCACTTAATAAAGAAAGAGCTTAGGTATAGAGCTTAAGAGATGCAATGCACAAGATCTTTTTTTCAAAAACTCTAAAAATCACTAAAAACACACATCAATATAACTATTTTTGTTTAAAAGATAATCAATAACCAATTATGGCTTGATTCTCTTGTAATTATCATTTTTGTACGGATATATTAAAATAAATAAATAAATAAAATAATAAGTTCCAAATGTCCAAATTACAACCCAAATTGACTAACCCATTTGCCAAACCCTTAACCCCAAGCAACAAGCCCATCAGTAGAAGCCAACATGTGAAAAAGATGAGAGCTAGGGTTTTCTCTCTAACCCTAGCCGCCACTACATCTCAACCCTTGGATCTGCCAATGATCCAATGGTCCAAAAAAAACCCTAACCCTAATCCTATCTTAGCTACTACCGTCACTCTCTATCAACCGTCCGATTTGATGATGATCCAATGACCTTGATTTCTCTAAAATCTCTAAGATGCTTCAAACGCCCGATCAAGTGATGGTAAGGCACAGACTATGTTGCAAGCCATCCAATTGCTCCATCCTGACGCGTATAAAGCACATGAGACTACCCATGTTGCCCATCACCTCGTGCACCCCGCTGGCCTTCTTTCCTCTATTAAGTAAGGTTTTCCTCGTGCACCTGGTGCACCAAGTTGCTCATCGCTCGATCTATTTTGTAAAGAGGGCATTTTGAGTTTTTTGTTAAAAAAAGAAAGAAGCATTAGGAAGAGAAAAACTGAAACCAAAAGCAAAAAATTAATAAGAATCTCAAATTTATTTTCAAAGGTATTATCTTTTTAATTTCTTGTTTAATCTCAGTGTGTCTCGAGGCGAGTAGAAGGTCCTTTGGCCTTCACTTTTAGCCTTAGACGCCGGATAGGACTCAAGGTGGTTGGCAAGAAAAAAAAAGGTTTATACGTGGCCTTCAAAACGATACAGTTTTGGTGACTCTGAACCCGTGCGGGTTTATTTCTGTATAGGGCCTTGTCCTTTCAAGAATAATGCAATATGATCCTCGTTTACCTTTCATTTTATGTATTCTAATTTGATTCTCTTCTATTTTAGTCATTTATTTACAACATTATTATTTATTTTTCATCTTTTAATTTATACCCTTCCACTTTTTGTTATTTATGATTACGCATCTATGTTTAATTTTATTTATTTTTTAATATTTCGTTTTTAGTTATTTACATTCCATCCCTCTTACTTTTATGCATTATTGCCTTTATTTTATTTACTTTATATTTCAGTCCTTAATTTATGCATTTATGTTTCAGATTTTATTGATTTACCTTTCAGTTATTTATTTTCAGCCTTTATACATGCAATTTATTCTTCTAATCCTTTGTTTCTTATGTTGTTAAACTTTCTGCACTTTATTTATTACTCTTGGTTACTTTCCTTTTTTTTCATTTTAACCCATACATCACCGTTATGTTATTACCTGTGCGTGTCAATATTATTTTATAACAAGTTTATGATATTTATATGTTTTTTTATATTATACTAATATATTATATTATATTATTCATGTTATAGTTGTATTATATATAACGTTTACTATATGTTTTCATATTTGGCACTACTTATAAGCATATAAAATCACATAAAACAACATAAAAAAGTGAAATTACATGAAATTAAATTCTTTACCACTTGAATCAAGGTAGATTGATTAAGACTCACTTTCTTAAAGTGTCCTTTCTTCTAGTATATTTAGAGCTTTCAAATTGCTTAACATTGTTCACTATAGCTCAAACACACCTACAATAGACATCCACTTAATTTTTGGTACCCAAATTATTTTGGGTTCTTAATTGTTTGTTTCAATGCCTCTAGTTCCCTCAGGAACTCATAATTATCTAATTTTATACAATTTTTTCCTTTATAGGACAAGTATGTGAGTTATGAACATTTTACCTCTTTAAATACCAAAATTAAAGTGGTACGAAATTAAATAATAATAAAAGTTAAACAAAACAGAAATAAGTAGATAAATTAAGTAAATTTAAAATAAAAGGGAAAAAACCTATAAAATAAAGCAAAATTATAATGTATACGATTTAAGGGACTAAATTGAAATAAAATAAAAATTAAATAGAATAATTGAAAGAAATAAATAAAGTCAAATAAAAGAAGAGCATGACTAAAATTAAATATAAACAAAATTAAGTAGTGAAATTAAAAGAATTAAAAGCAACGAAGGAACAAAAATGAATTTCCAATCCAAGTTGAAGGGATTGTGGAATGATTATTAGTGAATCGGCTATCCCCATTAAAAGCACGCGAATCCTTTTCGTATGCATGCTCTCTCAAAGATGTATATAAGCCAACCTTCATTTTTTTCAAGAAGGAACTCTCCACCAGCGCATGCTCTCTCACGTGCAAACTGTTGTTGGTTGCTTGAGAGACATCAACAAATGACATGTACGATGCACGTGCGCCAACTGAATATAACTACTTGGTAGCGTTAACAAGTAGTAGTAGGTCACAAATTATTAGGTATTTGAATTTTGGGTATGTAATTGAACTCTAATACTTTATTTAGATTCTCAGTTTCTACTGATAAAATTTTAAATTTTCATTTGTATTTACAATCAAATATAAAAGATCAATACCCAACAACCTAATATCAAATCATAATCCAAATTGTATAGACTTAATATAAATTTAGCTAACCCATAACTTTAACAATTTTCCACGGGTTGATCCATGCCATTCAAATCATACCAATGAATTCATAATTCATTTTTTACTCTCAGATTTAACTTAAACTATAAATGATTATATACATGTTGATTTTGATGATAATGATATGCATGAAGTGCTTTAGAAGTGTGCTAAATTCGAACGAAGGTGAAACAATTTGTCATGGTCATCAGAATAGATCGACTCCCAAGTAGATAAACAAATATATTAAACTGGATTGACTGTGGACCCAAGATAAATTAATCTTAAATTTGTTAAAAGACATAATTCACCCGTGACATTTAAAATACATTTACCTTAGTCATGAACAAATGTAGAACTATATATGTGTGATTTGCACGTTTTGATACATCAATAATTGATGTGTCTCAAGGTAGTAAACTAATGATTGATATGTTGAATATGTAAATCATACGTGATATAACTGTATTTATAAACATGTGATCATAACTTGATCGAAAAGTAAAATATATCATCTCAATGACATTGTATGATTTATGAAAAATATAACATGACCGTGATTCACTAGGATGAACGATTTCATTATTTCTTTGTGCAATTGTCATTTTTTCATATGATCTACAATAAAACACTGATAAAAATGATTAAATCAGAACAATAGTAAAAATATTTGGAATATTAATTTTATCACCCGAGATATTTTGAGTTTTTCTATGTGTGTAATTTTTGAATGGAGAGTTGGAGAATAGCGAAGGTTATTCAATTAAAAGCATAACACTTTTTAAAGTATCCGCTGCTTTACTTTTAACAGGTTCTATTTGACTCCAACTATTGAAGAGTACACTGTTTTGTTTAACCTCAAGAAAATCCAAGTGGATTGGATGTATAGCCGACCCTCACAACCTCAATCCTTCAAAAACAAGATTGTAACTGTTAATAGGATGGGTGAAAAATGGGCCTTGGAACAAATCAAGAAGAAAGCGGAAGGTGAAGGGGCTGCCTGATTAGCCATCTAGAGGGTCAACAAAACACACCCTGATAGTGACAAGAAGTTAGTCCTTTTGGCCTTAGGGATTTACATCCTTGTAATTTTCCTGAAGATTCTGGGGTATGTGGAAGCAACCATATGGGATTTATTTGATCAGTTGAAAAGAGGAATTAACCCTACGCCGACAGTGTTAGCTGAAACCTTTCAATCCATAAGCACCTGTCGTAAACATGGAGGAGGACGATTCTTAGGAAGTTCTCAACTACTGATAGTATGGATCCAAAGTCATTCTTGGAAGGAAAGAGAAGAACCACCTATTAGGACCATGTTATCCGATTATTCTCCCTTAGAAGATTTGCTCAAGCAGGGGTGGGCAACAAATAGCTTTGAGGATAGATGGACTACTACTTTTAAAAACCTTAAGGAGGATGAAATCGTATAGAAAACACCTTGGTTTTATTAGAGATAAATCCTTTATCGCATAGAGGACCATGACTGGGTAAGGCTTCTACAAATTTGGGGGCTATTGGGTATACTCCACTTCAAGTTCTGAGGCAATATGGAGTACGTCAATTTATGCATGTCACCAAAGGATTAGCCACATTCGAATTCTCTTTCCAGGGAAGACATTATAAGTCAAAGATCTGAGAAATCTCCGAACAGTGGAGCAAAATTTTCTGAAGCTTGTTAGTAGCATATTCTGTCATGGTGGCCATTGATTAGAAAATTAGAGGCTTCATAGAAAGAATGAGAATCTCCCACAACCCTATGAAAACAATGTCCCGGTGGAGGAATTGATAGGGGAGATGCCTTCTAAAGCTAAGATCCTTAGGAGGGAATTCGAGGAAGAAAGAATTGGATGTGAAAAACAAAGTAGAGAAATGAAGGATGCAATGTTTCAGCTGGGGTTAAATAGAGATGTTCACGAAGCAAATGTCGAGAAGTATAAGAAAGACATGGAAAAACTTGAAGCATATCATGAGTATTTAAAGAAGGTATACAGAAAGTTGTACTTGAAAGACCGAATAGCTAAATTTTGTAAGACGTCGGAGCAGTGGGTGAAAGAAATGAGAGTCCAAAAGTGCCATTTCAAAATTTTAGAAGATGAAAACAAGTGTCAACTCAGAAAGCTCAAGGCTAAAATGAAACAGAGAGAAGAATGAGAGGCTGATAGGAAGGCAATGATCAGGCATACCAAAGCGTATAGCAGTGAGATTGAAAAAATAAAAACTAAAAGTTTGAGGGATGAGAACAGGAAAGGATTAGAATCCAAGAGTTGGAAACTGAAATGAACGATATACTTGAGTCATTCAAAGCCAGAGGCCAACGAATTCAGGAACTCAAGGAAGAAAGGGAGTCGAAAAGGGACTTGGTTTGCAATGAAATGCAAGGCTGGAATCGTATCCTGGCTAGAAAACAGGCTGAAGTTAAGTCTTGGATGCAGAGGTACTCTACCAAAAATTCACAAATTGAAGAACCCAGTAGAGAAATAAGAGATATGCAGCTGAGGCATGAGGAAGAAATGAGCCACACTCAAACAAAAAACCTTGAACTTGGGGATCATGTCATGCAATTAGAGGACTACCTATATCAGGAGCAGGTCCCACCAGCTTCGATGAACTTAAGGTTGTCTAGGGAAGATAATAGAGCTCTGTGAGGGCAAGTTAGAGGATTCAAAAATGAGCTTCAGCAATGTTGAATTCAGATCACTTATTTAGAGAATGAGATCATTGGTATCAATGTTGGATAAAAACACACCTTAGAATATTATTGAGCCATCGTAGCAGAACGAGAACACATGATGGGCGATTATGCAGATGAGTGAGGTAGCTCGCTACACAAGAGATTTGGCTAATAGGTCATAAATAATTTTGGATCGCACCAGCCCAGTAACTGACTATGGGAAAAAGGTCACGGAACTCATGAATGAGATTGTCAAACTAAATATGAGGGCTAGTCCTTATCTGTAAACAAACCACTTTGTACTGTTTGAAACTTTTTGGACCCAATGAAACTAATCCTATGATATTCACTATTATCAATCAATGCCTTTTTGCATTAACATTTTACACTTACATAAATATACATACATTAATTAATTCATAACATGCATTCATGGTTAAAAGAATAATAAAAATTAATTTACCGAAGATTATGTGATAGAAGATATTGGCTGAAAAAATGACACATCGACACAACATTCGAAGCAAAAGAATAGATGTAAAACTCAAACAAGTTAAAAAAGAGATGCAGGAGAATTTAATGAAAATGCAGCATGAATGGGAGAACAAATGGAACAGACTCAGAAGTCTACCGTGGACAACATCATGCAAAACCAATCCAATATGGTTGATCAGATTGTCGCAAGGTTAACTACAATAAAGGTTGAGATTGGGAAAGTGTCGGTCACTACACCCGTAGAAATCATTGAATGTACTTCACTTCCCACCGTCCCAAGATTGGTTATCACACCTGAAAATATTGTCGGGCAATCCACCACAATAGTAGTAAATGATCCTTAAAGCAATCCAATTGAACAAATGGTACCAGACCTTGATGAGGTGGAAAGAACCAGAAATGAGATACCTGAACACTTGAAGGATTGGTGTAAGGATTTTTTTTCATAGAAATGGGAGGGCATAGTTTCCAAGAGCCAGATGCAACCGAATTAAGCTTAGTACATGATCTGATACTATCTCCTAAAGTTAAGATGTCGGAGTTTGAAAAATATGAGGGTAAAACTTATCCTATTACACACTTGACGATGTTTATTAGGAGAATGACAAGTTTCGTTAGAGATAATAAGCTTTTAATTCACTGTTTCCAAGCAAGTCTGATAGGGTCTTGTTGAGTTAATCGATCGATGAATCGGCCAAGAGGGGGTAAATTGGTAATAAAAATTTTGGTGGAAGCTTTTGCAGAAAATTGAAAATATTTGCACAACGATTTAGAGTGGTTCGACTTTCTCAACCAAAGTTCATGTCCAGTACCTTAGATATCCACACTAAGGATTTTCTACAGATTCACTAATTTATCTTTCTTTTGAGGACAAAGAGTAACCTTACAACTCCCTCAAGAATTATACCCCAAATTCTTGAGAACACTCTCTCTCAAAGAGAACAATACAAATTTCACGAACTTACAGAAAAACCTCTCAAGGCAAGATGTTTGCACAATTCTAGAACAAAGAAAGAACACTCAAGAATGAATACAATTGTGTTCTTGAAAGAAAAATGAATATTGAATGGAAAATAGGCTTGAATTTTACAAACTTGATGTTTGATGCTTTCTCTCTTGATTCTTTCTCAATTCTTGTTGATCAATGGCTCCTAAGCTTGTTTAAATACACCTTGGATCACTTCTGAACGTTAGGGATCATTGGTGAAGTCAATAGAGTCGTTATGGTGTGAATACCATTTAAAAAATCTGTTGGGAGCGTTGGTGTATCGGTACACTGTCAAGGTGTATCGGTACACTCAGTGTAAAATTCAAATATTTCGACTGTTGGTTGACATGGTGTATCTGTACACTCAAGAGTGCATCGGTGCCCAAATTACATTCGATGTTTCTCGGAGCCAGGAGTGTATTGGTACATAAGCTATGTATCGATACCCAAATTACATTCGATGTTGGGGGTGTATCGAGACATCCAAGAGTGTATCGGTACCTCCCTTTGTAAAAATCATTTTTGGCACGATTAAGGTTTGTAAAAATTGTTTCAAAAATATTTTAAGACTAAAACACAATTTTACACTTAAGTAAGGATTAAAATTGACATTTGAAAGCTTGTAGTAATATTTTTTATATTCGAATAATTTAATCAAATATATAATTTTAAATCGAATAGAAAATCTTAAAAATTCATTTACAATTTATTTGTTATATCGAAACATCAAAATGTTTTCAACAATCTCCCCCCCTTTTTGATATAACAAAACATTTTAGTAATTTTAAGATTTTCTTTGAAAATCAATTTTGAAAATTACTCCCCTTACTTTATTCTCCCTTTTTTTGTTAAATCAAAAAGTCTCTATGAAAAATTTAAACAAGGTTTTAAAGAAAATAGCCAATTAATATATATATACATATAGCTTAAGCTGCTAAGATCACAATTAAGAGAAAGGTTAGCCATTAGTCCATAATCAATATTCATATAAATGTGTAAATTGGGAATTGGTCATATGAAATCTAAAATGTGAATGATGCATATACTAACATAAAATTCAATTTAAGTTCAAAAGTAATAAACATTCAATATTCAAACCAAAAGTAAATCCAAAAACATCCAAAACACACAAATCCAAAATATTCAAAATGTTTTAACAATAAGTTCTAAGTTCAATAACCAAGAAAACTAAGCAAGGAAATGTCTAATCATCCATAGGTGGATCGAGACGAGGAAAATGTGCTCGCATCGCAGTTATATTAAGCGTAAGCACATTTAATCCTTCATTCATAGCTTCGTTGTTAGCTCGCATCTCTCGTTGAATTTCCAATTGTTGAGCCCCCATATCGGTTAATTGAGACTCTATGGATGCAAACCTCAAGTCAAATGTCTCCATAAACGATCGAAAGTATTGAGGCATTTGAACCTCTTACTGGACCGACTCGTCCTCGAGTACATGATCATCGATATCACGCATAAGTTCTTCAAGCTCTAGATCATTATCAGCTGCCGGTGCCGAAGGAGCTCATGAAGAGCTAGCACCTGGTGTTTTCTCGATTGATCGAACCCATTGATCCTTTTCCCCGAACCATCCCGATTTCTTCAAGGTTGTGAGATTTATTGGGTTCTTAAGAGGGATGGCTACATCAAGTTAGACCCTAAGATTGGATTTGATAAACAAATTACTTAGAAGACAACCGTAAACCAAGGTTTCTATATATTTGGATGGGACATTGTTCACGGTTTCTACTAGCTCACCAAAAATGATTTGTGGCAAATTTATTTTCTTATTACGTTGGATACAATGTATCCACCATAAATCTAAAGCTCTAAGGGTGGAGTATCTACTTCCAGATGGTCTAAACCACCAAGAGATCATCAAATGGAGAAATTGCTCATGGTGAGTTAACAAGGTACTCGCACTAGCCTTAGCTCTATAATTGGTAGCCACAATTTCTTTTTCATTATCTAAACCCTCATTATCTAAACCAAAGATGTTAGTGATTGTGTCAGAGTCAATATAAATGAATTAACCTAAGAGATAAGATCGAATCCCTATCGTGGCAGTATGAAACTCGTTTTGGACACAAACATCATTGGAATAGAAAATACGGACTAGTTGGTCATAAACAATAGGTTTGAGCTGAATCAAATTTCCAAGATCGGAGGGTAGGAAGATATGCAAAATTCATATCAACCATGGCTTGGATAGAGGGGATACGCTCTTCCCGGATTTTATATGACTCGAATAAATTAACAAACCTATGGTAGATATCTTCTCGACGACCAGGTTGGTTAAAACAAGAATTAAGAATAGTCATATCTGGAGCGTTTGGGTTTAGATTTTGAGGTGGATTAAGAGGTCATTTTTAGGTTAGTTTGACGACCGACTAGACGATGACCTAGGATGTTTGGAATGAGACATGGTATTTAATCGGAATGGATAAGATTACCTTCAATTTGAAAATACATGTATGCAATACAATCAATCCCAAAACTCAATATGAGTCCTCAATATTCAAGGTTCTCTAAAATTAATCCTAATGGGCAACTTTGAAAACTATTTTTGAAAAAAATGTTTGAAAAATCATAAAACAACATAATTAAATCAAAAGCAACAAAACAATATATATATTTGTATTTCAAAAATTTTTAAAAATGTTGAGAAATCTTGTGTTTTTGATGATATTTGTTGTATATTCTTGTGCTAAAACAAAATATGAACAATGCCCGATATCTAATTCAACCTAGAACTAATCAAAACTAGTCATAAGTTCAAAAATTAATAAAATAGAGGTTTTTGAAATATTATCTTGAAAAATGAGTGAGATTTGTTGTTGTTTGCACTAATTTGATGATTCCAACATGTTTAGAAGTTGAAAAACTATCGAATTCCAACTATAGATTGAAGGTTTTGAGTAAGAAGAGATTTAGGGTTGAAGAGAATGAGAACGTCGTTGAGTGTTTAGAGAGAGAGGTCTTGGCAAAATATGTTATTTTAGGGATTTTAAGCCTAAAACCCGACGGGTGTATCGGTACACCTGTGAGTGTATCGATAAACATTCAATTAATGTATCGGTACACATTCATAGTGTATCGATACATAGAAAAGGTTTATCGATACATAAGTATCGATACATTGTGCACAAAAATGTCAAAAATATGTTTTAAACACTTAGAATGCTAAATTAATTAGTTCTAGTGGTATTGGCAACTCATATTTCAAAAATTAACAATATTAAATCAATCAAATATATCCTTAAATTTTATTTAAACATATAATTAATTTTTACTAAAGATCATAAACTCCCCCTAACTATTAGCAAAGAATGCATTCAAAAATGTTATTTTTATAAGCATTTTTCAATTCTAATTAAAAGTGCTAAAAATCATTTTAAACACTAAGTCAAGATAGGTCAGTTAAACCTAATTCTCTCATAAGTGTCCAAATTCTTTCTTTATCTAAAGGTTTTGTAAAAATATCTGCTAAT